AATAATCTAAATTATTTGAGTTGTTTTCCCCTATTCTAGAAAAATGACCGAATTCAACACAAACTGTTTAAAAATGTTGCTGAAATAATTTATTTATAGCATTGTATAATCTATTAAAATCAATGAATGAATATTAAAAATTATTTAGTTTAAGTATTAGGTAAAATGTAGGCCTAATTTTTTAAACTACAAATTGATTGAAGACAAAAAAAACGTTGTGGGTTCTGGTTTAAAAACTACTGAAGCTCATTATTGTAACTCATACAATTATATAAACATTTCAATTCTTCAAATTTGTAAGTTATTTATCCTTAGCTTAAATATCTACTTCCTACTTCATATTATTATAATGTTGATTAAGTTAAGTATTCAAACAATGACCAAATTATCATACATTTTATTTTATTTAAATTATAATATTTTTTCATATAAAAAAAATCAATAGATTTAATATTGAACAAATCATTACAATTCCTTACACATTATGAAAGTAGTACTTACAATTACTTAAATGTATTTTCAAATTGAAGCTTAATATATAAATCACATAACGTTTTATTAACAGAATAGTCTTTGTTTGGCACAAATACATGTACAGAAATTATAAATATATTTTTATACTGTGTTCTCATGATCATGAGGAATAATCTGTATCTTCTGATGGGTCATCATGATCAGTATCTGTATCAGTACAACTCAAGTCGCTTATCGTGGTAACAACAGGACGATTTGTATTTGGTTCGATATCACAACTGTCCTCCTTCTTCCATCCTTTCTGTTTCATTAGTTTCATGTCTTCTTTGGTCAGCACATGTACGATTTCACCGCGTACCTTATCTCCTTCAGCTATTGGTTCAATAACAACATAATCATTACGTTTCACCCACACATTTCGCCTGAACTTGGCTGGCATTGAAACTAGAAATGTTTCATTGTCTTCTACTGAGAATACTTCATGAAGATTATTGCCACGGCCAGCAACTATGCGAACAATGCGCTGATCATCTGTTGGACCATTCCAATCAGCAGTGAGCATTTCTTTCTGCACATGTTTACGTTTAGTCGCCCTAGACATTCTGTAAAAAAATAACACTTAATAAACAAATTATTTACATAATTATTTTTAATGTTAACATAAATCTTAAATGTAAATTTTTTGTTCAGTCTTTCATTTTATCAGTTTTCCTTTTTTTCTTTTTGAACATGCCAATGTTTCCACCGGATAACTCTATAGCTTTTATAATGTCTAATGATTCTCCAAGCGGCACCCCATAGCCTTTGAACAATCCATGTGGGTTGGATGGAGTAACACAATCATTTAGAGCATCCTTTCTAAGAGCGGTGTCAACTTCAACAGAACTGAAAAATGCTACTGATTGTGGCAAATCAGTCATGCCTAATTTTTGAACACAAAATGCTCTAACTAGTAGGTTTGTTACATGTAAAGCTAATGCAGTCTGATAACGATGGTCATCTGGTACTAAATAACGTATCTCATCATGAAAACTTAGGCAAAACCGTACATTAGGATGGATTAACCATCGCATGCATACCAACATCAGATGAAGGAAATCAACAGCACCACTTTGCACAACCCAATTAATTCTGGTAGGTATGAATTTATCTATATCCACTCCATTCATTTCTAAAGCTCGACTGAGTCTAGATTCTAAGAATGGTGTTTTTGGTTGTTTTGAACATGCAATTTGTTCAAGGCTGTTGAACATAGCAGATTCTGAACCTCCACTCCAAATAGGTTTGCAAAACAATTCATCAACACTCTTATTATAAATAGTACACAGCTCTTGTGCACCTAGCCGAGAATGCTCTCTTTTTTTAACTTCCGGTAAAACAGTGTCATGAAGTTTATAGGTTCTGTTTCCTTTTGTCATGTTAAACATGGCTATTGCTTTTTGTTTTGCTTGTGCAGGACTTAAATCTGGATTGAATTGCTTCAATAATCGTTCAGAAAATGGCTTTCCTGCCCCATAAATCCTAGCATAATTTAATACTTTTGCATTATCTCTTGTAATTCCAATTGCTTTGGCAGTTGTACTGTGCATGTCCGTGCCATCACTTTTCCGACCACTGAGTGTCATCCATCCAAAAGCCGTAGCACCGTGTTCTTTGCCATAATAAGAATCTCCAATAACAGATGCTATCCACAGTTCTTGAGAATCGACATCTGCTCCAACTAAAGAATAACCTGGCGGTGATTGAATCATACTACGTAATTCTGATCCAACACGTTCATCGATAGCATTAGCAGCTGTCATCCATGTTCTTTCAACTGCTCTACGAGTTAGTGTTCCACACACTACAACCTGTGGTATGATGGCACCACATCCTTTTGATTTATCAGTCCAAACAACAATTTGTCCTTCAACCCGTTCTCTGTTGTTCCTCCAATAAGATAGCATACGTGATATTTCAATAATGTGCTCAGCATTACTGTCCTTTCCAGACAGACCATTTTGAGAAAATTTATTTAAGAAATCTCGTGCAAGTGGATTTCCAACATTTAAATGATTCCCATCTTTATGTGGAAGTTTCAATATACCACAGCCTGTTGCCAAATTTTCTTTACAAGGTTTATTCCGTAGGGTTCTATGATTTTTTTTTTTGAAAATACATTCATACTTGACTAGATTTGTTTGGACACTTTCATGAAGTTCAGTATTATTAATTTTTATTTTACAGTCACAAGATACATTACTCTTAATATAGTGATCTTGTAATTCTTTAAGTGGTACCAATTCAGCATCTGGAAGTTTTATATCAGTCTCGTATGGTACAAGTTGGCCCCAACCATTTCCCCTCACATAATGTAGAGGAAGGGATTTCCACATAAGAGAAAGTAGTTTAGGAACAAGATGCATACCCGAACTTATGAGTAATGGACCAGGAACCCAATGCGGGTCTTTGGGAGGTGCACACAATTTTCTATACCATTCTGGATAGCCAGCTAGATGAGGTGTCTTAAGTGGTAATCGTTCACTTGTTGCCATTAATGGTTTAAACATTTTTTCTAATTCAAAGAATCTCTTTTCATAAATGTCTTCAGGTTCTATAGGTTTATTTTCTACTGTAATTTCTGGTTTCTTTTTTTTTTCTTTTTTTAGTTTCAACACCTTAGATGTCCAATTTTGGTCCCAGAGCCACAAATCTTTTTTATAGTTATCATTATACATTAATTGACAAGCTTGATTTGCTTGTTGTGAAAGTAAGAATTTGGATTCAATGTCCAGGTCTTCATATATTTCATTTGAAGTATCCAGATAACGTTTCCAATTTGAATTTACTGGTAAATACGATGTGCCCAATTCTAAAATACCGGCTAATGTAACAGGATGAGGGAAACGTTCCAAAAATAAAGGCCACAGTTTTCTCAAGACTTCAGTAGTGGCTTTAACATCATTTGCACAGTACGTCATTAAATTTTGAAAATCATTATTAATATCTTGTAATGAACCTTTAACAAATGTATCACGATCACTCTTGGACAACTCAGCCTTGCAATATAATTTATACACTTCATTTAAACTGTTTAATGAGCTGTGTTGTTGCCAAGATTCTTCATCGATGACATCTTTTGATTTTAATAATGTTTTCTGATAACTAGTGATTCCACTGATGGCAACATGCAAAGACATAGTGTCTATAAATCTAAGAGCTGTACGATTTAGCCAATATTGCTCCATAATTCTAGCTCTATCAAAAGCGACATGATGGCCTACACACAACTTGGGAGTGTTTGACCATTCAGTGATTTTCTCTTTGGATTTAATTGATGTCTCTAATGGAATGAGATCTTTACATGAATAACCAAGATATCTACCTGATCTGGTATTGCAGCTGATTAAATCTTTACTCACCCAACTGTACCAAGCTTTTGATGTAACAGCAGTTGCTAAGGTAGGTAAGTCACCTTCTCTACAACAAACTTCAACATCAAAAATCATGACTTTCTCTGTGGGGTAATCACATTGCTCAATTTCCTTTCCATACCTAGTCCAACCTTCTCTAAACACCCATTCTTTAGGCATTTCTGGTATTCCTTGTTTTAAAAATTCATCCATCAGAATTGAATACGGTTCACTTTGCATTTTACCAATTTTATGAAAGTGATCAACTATGTTTCCCTCCAATGGAGGTAATTGGAGTTCAATATCGGGTACCTTGTGCAATGTCGATGGCAAATCATATTTGGACAGCTCGTTTAAGGCCATCTTCAGAACATTTTCATCAGTCGTATGAGACTCTTTGAAAAGCTGTTCGTACAAGTTGGCTGACAACATTTGAATATTCAATGAGTTTTTACGAAATTCGGTCTTCTCCATTGGTATCAAACGGGGTATTCTAGTCAACGAGTCCGACACTAGAGTTTCTTCTTCTTGAGATTTCTCAGCCAACAGCTCGGTTATTTTTCCCGGTCGGTGGAATTTGGGTACGGTACAGTATTTCCCATGGCCTCGCACACATTGTGCGTAATAAACGTTAGCACGTTTCCAATACATTCCAATGCACTGTACAATTTAAATTATCAAAACACGTGCGTTACATGTACATAGAAGCCTATAATTTCAAGGTTTTTTATTTCGATTAACAGCACTTACCTTAATAGATCAATCAACCCTCAAACATTTATAACATGTAAATATTTAAAAAATAATACGTGTATGACTTTATTGCACTACATTCACATTCTTATTTTATACATTTTCGTGAGCAGTCAACACTTCAACACAACGATCTGATATACTGAACTCGAATTGAATGTGACTGAAGGTCTGAAACCATGAAAATAATAAATAATATTATATTATCCATTGCAATGGTCATGAACTACGAATAGTATGGCGATTGCCAAAGAACACAATCGAACACTCAAGTCCGTTACTAAGTTCAAGTTAGTTTACTATTGGACTAAAGAGATAGTGATGCTAAGATAAGGATGAGGATGGATATTATGTTATTATATTTTACGGTTTACACTTTAATAGTTTATACTCTTTTACACTAAAGCAAATACTATATACGACGTCGTATATAGTATTTGACTAAAGTACTCCGAAGTCTGAAATCATCGAATATTACATAAATGTTTTATTTTTTTTAAATATGAGTAGGAAATTGTACAACTGTTATTTAGCTATCATCAAATTCTAGTACTAATGGTATAAATGTAATATTTTTAAATCGTTTTTCGCCAATCAGTGTACCTACTTTATAGTGTTCAAGTGAAATCGTACCTATAACTTATTACACTGTGTTATTATATATACTATTATACTTACTCTCCAAAATGACTGGTAAGCTAATTTGATTATTTTCTTTAGATTCATTTTAATGGAATATTTAAATCATTATGTTTGAACATAATCAAAAATTACAGTATTTAATATCACATTGAAAAAAGATCCATACTGACTAGATTATTTAAATTTTTAAATTTTTAGATAATTCATTGTTGGATTTATCTAGTCAAGAATTGCGAAAGTTGCCAAAAAATGAAAACAGTCATATTATTAAAGTTTTGGATGTGCAAAAAAACTGTTTACAGAAACTGGAAAATGTTGAACATTTTACTGAACTTAATGAAGTAAATAATTTTAAAAATAATATATAACATTAATAATAGCACCTACCTAAATTATATACATTTTTAAAGTTAATAGCAAGCCATAATCAGATGATGAGAATGTATACAGTAGCAAAATTATCAAAACTAGTAAAATTAGATTTATCTAATAATCATTTGATGAGTATTGAAGGGCTCAGAGATTTAATAAATCTTACATCTCTTAATTTGTCCAATAACAAAATCAAAGTAAGTGTTTTTCTTCTATTAAATTTATAAAAATTTTCATCATGTTTTTTTTCCTTAGATTATTGAACATTTATCAACCAATATAAACTTAGTGCACATAGACTTGTCATTCAACAGCATATCATACATTACCAATTTGAGTCATCTTTTAAAACTTGAAGTATGTTAAAAACATTTAAAATAAATCTTAGTCTATGTTATGTCTTATGTGTATGATATTTATTATGATTATTTATAACCTCAATGAATTGATGAAAATAACATTTTATTATACTTACAGAGGCTTTTTTTGCATTCGAATAATATTTGCCATTTAACCAACTGTCAACATTTCCTTCCAGTCAACTTGCTTACTCTTACTTTAGCCAATAACAATCTTAATGATTTGAATGAAATATCACAGCTTTGCCGTCTTGGTTTGTTGAGAGAAATCACTTTAACTGGTAATAGTTGCCTTGAAGGGTACACATTTAACTACAGACCATTTGTAGTTAATTGGTGTCCTAGTGTGAAAATAGTTGATGGTTATGCTGTGGATGACATTGAAAAGTAAGTATTTGATAAGTCAATGTAGATTATACTTGCTTATAATATAATAATGTGTGTTTCCAACAACAAAATTAGAAATACAAATTAAAAAATTTTTCTTGTCTCTATCTAATATTTTGAAAATCTACTGCTGTTATAGAAGCAAAATTCGAAAAATATTAAATTAATCTTATTAAATTTTAGTCTAAAAGCTGAGTGGCTGTATAGCCAAGGTCAAGGACGGAAGTTTCATACTGGACAACACACTGCTCTTGTACGTTATTTAACGGAAACATGTCCAATTACAAGCCATGCTTTAGAGACTGAGCAAGAAAGAAAATTGAGATTAGTTTTGAGCAAAGCCCAACAATATAGAGAGCAATTACATAGTATGTATTATATAATTTGCATTGGACTTAATGTTTACTGTCATATATTGCTCTGCCTTTAGGAACAAGTACACCAAATATTAAAGAATCAGGACAAGAATCATTGATGACTAGAAGCCTAGATCCTACTGTATTGAAGTCTACAACTCAAAGACTATCTACTGGTTCAGAAAGCTGCCAAGGGACACCTACTAGTATGTCTCGCAGTGTCCATTTACCAGTGACTGAAGTTAATTGCTTTGTCCAGTCTCCACCTCTACCAGCCGCCAGCACTATGTTGCCGATATTAGACTCATTACCTAGTCCACTGACGCCAAGTATACCAAAATCAAGACCTATAATTGGTCTTCAAACTCCAGCTGGTGAAGAGTCTCGAGCCCCTACTATGGAAAAATTGCAAATGATTAAAAATAAAGCTTCACAAATGAACGGCGTTGAGAACAAAGGTAAATAATTCAATATTTAATACTGTTTATTTTAACTAAGTATATGCTATTTATATTTAATATAGATTTACACCAGTCAGCCATAGTAATACAAAAAATGTGGAGAGGATATCATACTAGAAATTTGAACAAAAATGTAACTAATATATATCAACATGTACAAATGCTACGTTTTAATCAATACATTAAGTAAGAAATTTAATCTTAATTTTTTTTTTAAATGTTAAAAGTTTTGTGTTTTTAGGCAAATGAGCAAAGATTTAGTAGATACCAAAAGTACTCTTGAAAAAGAACATAAATTAGTAGTATTACAAATGCAAGCTATAAACGAGTTGTGGAAAAAGGTATTTATATTAATTTGTATTATCATTTATTGTATGTATTAACACATCAGCTATACCTACAAATTATGATTACATTCTATGGTTCTTGAAGTGAGGTGTGTGGTAGGTCACTAGTAAATAATAGAATTTAAAAAAGAAAAATATACTTAAAATATAATGAAACAAATAGTAAAATAATATACTCATTGCTCATTATTCACTATACCTATACTAATTATTATTTTTTATTTTCTTGTATACACATTTCATTATAAATATTGTAATGAGTATAATATACTCCAATACACCCCTATGTATGTATATCACAATCAAGTTTTCATTTTCTGGGTATTATGTTGTATAAAATATTACTATTATTATAACTAAAACCTTAGAGCCTATCTGATTTTCTATTTTTTTTTTTTTTCATACAAATTTGAATTTATTGTATTGTATTTATTTTACAATAATTGTATTCTTGTCTTACTACATTTTTAAATGCACCACAAAATAAGAAATGTATGACTTCAAATATTTTGTCGAGAATCGTTTAATTAAAATTGTTCAAATCCAAAGGGAAATTAATACTTTTCTAATCATACCATTTTTGGTTGTATTTATTAAAGAACTAAATTACTCAAACAACAGAAAAAAATTGTGCAATAGTATTTATTATTTATAATCTTTCCTATTATCTAGATCAATTTTATTATTGCAATTTATAGGTTGATTCATTTATCAAAGAATACTCATTATTTCTTAAACTAAAAATGTTTAAAAAAAAAAAGTTTTAGGTCTACAAAACAACGTTTTTGTAAGTAAAATTATTATTATTATTTTTATCATTATTATTTATTTTATGATTGTTACTGTTGAGTATGACAACATTTATTTTTAATTCCATATTCATAAGCAGAATATTATTTGAATATTTTGATTCATACAAATCAAATTTTAGACGAGTAATTAAAATAATACTTTCAAGTTACAACTCATCTAAAATTCAATTTCTATAATCGAAGTACTCCGAAAAATATAATAAAAAGTTTAGATAGGTTAGGTTAATATGGAGTATTCAATTTTTTGTGAACCCTCCTCAATACGATCATTTTCATATGTTTAAAAATTAATAAACTAATACTGTTGATGATTAAAGGTTAACACTATGGATAACAGATTAGGCAACGAGAATAATGGTGATTCCAAGTGTCTGACGTGCTCTTCATTGGATACTAAGGTACTTAATATTGTTGTAATTATATTACAGTTATAGACTACTAATAAATAATAGTTAAAAGAAAAATGTTTTGTTTTATGACAATTTTTATTCCAATTTTCAATATGGATAATTGAGTAGGTAATTAAAAATCTAAATACTTAATCTCTTAATACGTATTATTTATACATATTAAAAATAGTACCTCTTCAATTTTTATGTAATGGATTCTCGTCTTTTGAATATTTTTATTGAAACACCTCATAACTTATAAGAACAAAAAACATATATATTTTTTTAAGGTTCAACAGCTGCAGGAGTCCATGGATCATGTATTACGGTGTGTGAGCCCTTCATCACAGAGTGTTGCAGAAACACAAACGGACATCACTGCTGTACAGACACCAGTTGAAGAGAGTTGTCCAAATGCAAACGCAATAACCAGGCCCAATTTCCTTCCCCTATCCAAATCTTGTACAAATCAAGTTGTAAAAACTACCAACACAACTGCAATGTCTTCGGACATCTAAATTATAATTCTATGAAATCAAAACTGTCCAAAATTTCTATTGTATAATAATTTTGTACTCATTGTGAAGAAATCATGAGTACTGTTGCAGTGATCTAGTCAAACTGGTTGAACTTAATTATTCCTTTTTTTTTTAAATATCTTTATTATCTATTTAATATTTAAGAAAACTTAATATTATAATATAATAAGTTATAATGTATTTTTATTGGTTTTTTTTACGATGATAATATACAATAAAAATAATTTTATAAACGTTCTGTTGATATATCTATTACAGAGTTGTTCAGTGTTTATCCACCAGTTTCCTTAAATATCATTAACAATTATTGTTTGCCGATAAAAAATATTCACCACTATTGCCCAATTTACCTTGTGATCACCAACAACCTTTTTAATATAGTTTGTTTGAGGACACAACATTTTGTTTTCTATAATGAGAATAATGATCGCAAGAAACAGGAGGCTTATGTTAAGTGTAGAATAATTTAACTATTAAAACTATTTAGAAAGAAGATCCTCAATAATACTACCGAAGAATATTTCCCACTTTTATTTATCACTAATTACCCTTAAAATGTATACATTGTGCTTAAATTATAGGGGACGGTATTATTTAACTACAATTTTTTGTTTTAGGTTTAAATTAAACACTGAATTATATAAAACCTCTTCAACCTAAGCTATACAATGGATAATCTATACATTTTATGACATAAATGCATGATTTTAAATAATATTTGTAAGAATATATTTTTTTAATATATTACCTACTACTATGTCTATATATACATATTATTTGGAGACTTGTTCATTTAAGGAAATAATGATATGAATAGTAAAATTAAATTTTTTAAGTGAATAATAAATGTATAGTATATTTAATGATATGAACTTTTTTTATGGAATGATAATGTCATTGTGTTTTTGAGATAATTTTCAATAAATTATAGAGGACCTCACAAGATCACAACATAGTAAAATTAATCTATTATAGATATATACAATTTTTTGTTTATAAAATATTAAATGTATTCGTATACATCTTTTAGTATGTCATTGGGAGGATTGACTAAACAAAATTCCAGGATGGAAATGTAGATGTATACAAGTAAAGAAGTCTTACAAACTACAATATAAAACAAATTTAGTTATTATAAACATATATATTTATGTTTCATACACCAACACTATCTTATGGATTAGTCTTATACACAAAAAACTCAGTACAGCCTTACATCATTACTGCAATTATAAACAGTGTACTTTTCAATTTAGGTTCATGGACACTAATAAATTGGACTTACAAGTTACAACCAAATACGCAACAGTCATTGTATGGAAGAAGAAGTAAGTATGTTGTTTTGTGTTATTTATAATGAAAAAAAATATATTATACAAATAGAATTCTTTCAACGTTAAAAATAATATAACGAAATACAATTACGACATATTCAAACAAACTGTAATTTATTTGTATGATACTTATCATACATAGTTAGACAATTAAACTATTAAAATATAATTGAATAATTGACAAAGAGTATTTAGGCAAATATATCAATTTTATTATCATTCACGGTTTATATACTATACATTGTTATACCTTATGGCAATAAATCTCATTAATAATACTTTATTTATACAAATATAACATATATATATATAAATCAATAATACAAAAATTAACCAATATTATTGAATTTTAAACTTGAATGAAAGCATACACTAAAATAAGAGTAGTGAAATATAAATATCACAGATGAACTAAGTATGCTGAGCTCTGGAACTGGAGCATTTGCAATGGCCTTAATAGTTGTTATGACATTCTTATGGCTACGTTTCTCCTTCATTTGGATCAAACATTAATGCAGTCACAGCAAACATTATAAATACAACACCACCCACAATAGTTACTATTAAAAATACAAAAACATAATTTATTATTTCATGTTTTCATGTATTACCTATTCATTCTAATATACTCACCAGTTCGAACAGATATTTTTTGAGCAATGAAACGACCACCGATAACAGCCAATCCTGTACATAAAGAATGTCCTAAGACTCCTCCAAGTGCAACACCATACGCATCCTGATAATGGTTTAACAATTAAAAATCAATATATAAATTTATACTTTATAGTCTTGGTTTTAATATTTTATACTTCTCTAGCTGCCAAAATTATTGTGGCTAATTGACTACGATCACCCCATTCTGCAAGGAACGTCATTGTAAAAGCTTGAATTAGAGTTTTTGACACAATCAATAAACTCTTACTGCCAAATCGTAATCTACATCTTTTTGGAGCCTGTTGTTCAATGTCTGCATCCTACAATCAAAGTCAATGTCAGCACAAAATATAGAATTTATTTAGTTTTATAATTGTGAACATAATAATTTTGGATTATATTATATTTCACTTGAGTACTTTAGAGACATTGCGATTAGGTAATAATTATTACTAAAGTTAAATAATTAAGTGTAATGTAAATTACACCTAATTAAAAAGCCATTGAATATCTACGAGCGGTTATTTTGCTGGGAAAATATTTCATGCTGCAATGATTTGAAAAATAAACAAATATACCTACATTTTTATTTATTTGGTATTGCCTACTACAGTATAGTAAATCGCAATAAATAAATTATGAGATCTAGGAGTTTTTGTTTCTATCATCATATTTTACAGTATTGTAGGTACTTTATTCAGTTGTTCTTACCTTAAAGTCAGTACTATTGTCAACAGTCACGTTGATAGTTTCAACCACGGATGGCATAACCGCAGGCGATTTATCGTCTTTCTCGGTGACTGGAGACGCATCTTTATTATTCTTCTTGTTCTTTAGGTATTTAATAATTTATTCCCAAATAATAAACAGCCCAAAGAAGTGTAGAAGGATAATGTTAAAAAAATGCCAAAATGAAAAAAAAAAAAATGAATTAACCTAAAATATTAATTAATAATTTGAAGACTACAGCAAATAATAAATACAGTTTAAAGCTAATATATTAAATACTTAAATTGTAATTATTGATCATAAATAAGCATTGTCTTGGGATTTTGAATAGAGCAAAGCGACTTATGATTTTTAAATGACATGTTTTTAAAATTCACCAGAAATTTTTAAGAAAAAAAAGACATAGGAATAACTCATACAAGAATCAGTGTTTAGCAAAAGTTTTACCATCTTTTAGTAAACCAAGCATAGTTCATAATTGTTTTATAAATAGTGATAATGGTAAAACATTTAAACTCTAATTCAAAAAATTTACAAATACCCAGGCAATATAGGAAATATTTGTATTTTACCAATTCTGATAGAAAAATTAGTTATATATTAATACAATACAGATGCTAATTCTTACAAACATTTAGGTCATATATAGATAATTATGGATATAATTTTAAAATTAGACATGGTCACGTCATTAATGAAAATGACCATCAATTATATGTTATATGTTATGTGTATAATTTATAGGAGTTAACACTCAGTACCTTATCTTTTTTTTTTTTGGTCTGTAGGAGATAATAATAGGCCCATTATGAATCTTGTTATGAATGTTGTAACAATTCACAGTTTTACACTTAACAAGCTAATATGTCATAGTAGAAAATTATTTCTAAAGAGAGTGCAACATACCGTTTTCTTAAGATAAATAGGTCTATTTTCATAAAATCAGTATTTTAATGTGATAAAGTCATAAGTATAACTATAATAAAAGTTCATTCAAATTCCTGATGGTATTTTATTGAGAATGGTATATCAACTTTTATGAAAACAAGCTTTATATTAATATAATATTGATCTATCTTTCATAATTATTTTTGTATCAATCGAACAATGGGGCTCTGGAAATTAAAATAATTAATATTATAGCATGACAACAAGGACTAGTAAAATAATACTTTCAAGTGATATCATTATTTATTTTGATTTAGTTTTTATTCTTTGACAGCAGGTTACTTAGTAATTTTATGTATAATTGGTACAATTTTATAATTTTAATGAATGGTAAATTAATCTAATTTGTCTCAATAAATCTCTACATTTTCATAACGCCAATTGTAAAATTACTGTTCTATGTTTATAAGATCGATATTCACATTTGTTTAAAAGAGTTTGTATAAGAAAACTCAGTAAAAGTGAAGGTTATGTAAGTTATTTTACACTAAATATAAATACATTTTATAATCATTTTACTTGTATACATAACAGATAAGAGATTTTATAATTGGCAAATTAAGTAAAAACAAATTCACATAAGCTATTACGTCTCAGCAATAAAAAGTAAATTAAGAACAGATTTTATCATACTAAGTACTGCGCAAGCTTACACACATACACATGCACACACACACAATTATGGGGATTGCAAAGGGTCATTATTTTATGCCAAAACATTATATTTTGTTCATCATACATTTGTATCAATCAAACTAATGAAGTAAAATAAATAAATAATAATAGTATAGTTGAATATAGATCTGAATTTATCATAAGGATTACTTGAGAACAACTTATTACATATTTTTAAATTGTAACTTATAACATCTTTTCAATTTGGTTTCAATATATTAAAATGTCAGAAAGTTAAAATATTTGTTATATTCAATTTCAATAAATAAATTTCAAAAATTGGATAGCCATAGAAAAATAAATGATGAGTTCAAATTTGTGTTCAGTAGTTTTCAAAAAATGGTTAATTTTGTATGATGAACAGAAACAGTGGATCCGGTCATGCGGGACACATTTAACCATTTATACTCTATATTACATATACAAATTTGAAAAAAATCTTAGAAACAGAAATTATCAAAGTTTTTGTGGCAAAAAGTCTTCAGCTAAGACTGGGTAAAATAATCATTAAAAATGTTTGGATTTAGGACGAATGTTATAATAACATTTAAAAACTAGTTAATATAAAATATTATAAAATTTTTAAAATTTAAAACCAATCATGTGTATAATATTGACTATTAAGTACTTTTAATTGGCAATCTCCCACCTCTAATCCAAAATAGAGGCTACTCCACAGTACAGAAACTATGTGTACTGTAAACTCATGACATGTGGGCGTGAAAGTTATGTGTTATGACAAGTGCAAAATTGCATAAGCTAAAAAACATCAAAATATGAAATATAATATATTAAATGCAATCAAAACCGTGAAAATTTGCAACAAATATGTAAGAAAAAAATTTGGGTAATAATGTAATATGATGAAAAATTCAACATTTTTATTTGATAATTATTATTCTTAGTTCATACATGTATGAAGTACCTATTTAAATAGTTAGCAAATTAAACAACTTATAATTTAACTCTGATTACCAAGCTAATACAAATCGGCTGTGTCGAGTCAACATAGCTCCTCCCACAAACATACTGATTATCGATTGGTCTCAAAACTATGGAGCTCAATCATTTTGATGTGCAGTCAACTTGTGTTCTCTCAGTGATCAGAATATAGGTACTTAATGAACTCATCTTTATTTCAATTACTATTTAGTGCCTAATAATTATTTATGATTTTCTACTTGACAACAACATATAAGATAATTACTAACTTAAATTTAATTTTTGCTTAATTATGAAATTAGTTTTGAATTTTGTCAAAATATGCAGTAAATGTAATAACAACTATGCAGTAATATGCAAAAAAAAAAAAAAGTAGGTACTGATAAAAATCAGAAAATGTGAAAAAAAAACATACAATTGCATAAAAATCCAAGCTTTAGTTATGAAGTATTAAAATGTATGATTGATTATACTTAATAATCAATAATAATATATGAACACACTAGTGAATAATAATCAACCATAAGGTTCACACGCACATGTTTTTCTTGCTACCTATTACTATTGATAATAAATATTATATTATTTAATAATACTTATAATCAATGCTATTACAAACTCCTTAAATACAGTCGTAATATGCAATCACCTAAAGTTGTAATTTGTGTCAAAAAACAAATATTATTCAAAATTATATTACCTAATATAATTATTTAATTTGCAAAAATTATTTTTAGATATGTCTAAAAATTAAACATTCTTTGTCTTTTAATAATTTTGATATTCAGCTAAAGACATGCTTAATTCCTCAAATCTCAACTATTGAAACAAAACTTTGATGGTTGATAGCCCTATTTTTGAAGAATATGTTTAGTTTTTAACCACACAATAAAATTATAAGCAGTACATACACCTATCCACATTTAAATTATATTGTTAACTAATTCAAATATATATCAGGTATTTAATAATTAGAGAATACAAACAGAACAAAATGCAAAGGAAAATAATATATTATGAAGCATTAAGAATAAACACATTTAATTCAATAACCATTATTCATTTTCAAATTAACAAGAAATGGCTTTAAAATGTATAAAAGGTAAGCCAAGCATAGATAATACAGATTTTTACCCAAATAATTAAGGTCATCCAGCACAGGCTAAAAGCAATTAGAACAATTAGCAGAAACTTGTATCATTCAAATTTTGAGTACCTATTCTTCTAGTACT